TATCTATCTATCTATCTATCTATCTATCTCTCTTTGTATCTCTGTTGTTCTATCTATTATTCGATCTACTTTATCTATAGTTCTATCATTTGTTCTGTCTAACCTCTGCTGTATGTTTGCAGTTGGGTGGCGGTGCTGTTCTGGGTCAGAAGGGAGAAAAAGGAGAACCTGCAGTGATTGAGCCGGTGAGTGATTGAAAGCGAATTCTGGGCATTCATCACCTTTGGAACAACATTGAGATTAGTTTATAAATATTCATTCGTTCATTTGATGCTGTAATTTGTTCTGGTCAGTTTGTTTTATTCTGGTTTTGTTGTGATTCATAGGGAATGCTGATTGAAGGACCTACTGGACTACCTGGACCTGCTGTAAGTTACCTGCATTTTTGCCCGCATCAGTAATTGGGTCATCATTGTGCTCTGGTCTGACTGTTTACTCTATTTTCTTTTTGTCTTTAGGGTCTTCCAGGCCCTTCAGGTTTACAAGGCCCCCCTGGTTCAGCCGGAGATTCTGGTGACAGGGTAAGATTTTGTTCTAGTCTCTGACTCCAGGCTGTTTACTTATGCCAACCACAGGTATTTTCAGAACATTAACAAGGTTTGGTTAAGGTTTAGGTCTTAATCTTTCTTTAGTCAAATTTTTTTTTTTACAGAAATTTCATTTGTCGCTGAAAAAAAATCAACAGTTATTAAGTGGGAAATGAGGCATGTCAAATGAAATCTGTGATAAGCATAATGAGACACAGATTGTCTCCTATCAGGCTTGAGAAAAACTTGTGTTGGAGACTAAGCAAGAAAGGCTCAGAAAAACAGTCTGGCTGTAGTAAACTGCAAGACCGTATGAAAATGTGTCAGTAAACAAAACATAATGCTAATTTATTCTGAACAGGGTCATAGCAGATTTCTGACACTGAGGGCACATTTACACCCTCTCTGACACATTTAGTTTTCAAGTGTGAAACCCTGAGTTGCTTTATTTAGAAACAAAGATTAAAGAAAGTTCCCAGTCAAAGCATGTTCCCAGTAATTCAAGTTACTACAGAATGAGCAGTCATTGTTCAGTAGGCAAATCGGACAAAATTTCTGATTAAATGCAGCACGTTACCCTCAATCTATTTCTGTATGTTAATACAGTTAATACACACATTGCTCACAAAAAACATATACTGCCTTAAACTGTTTGAGGATAATTATCATTAGAAATTCCCAAACCAACTCCAAAGTCTGTCTAGAGTTCTGATGTTAGGTTTGTATTGTGGGTAATTTACATCTACGTAAATACACTCTCTAACAGAAACAACACACACACAAGAACGCAAATGAAGAAACTAAATAACTTGTTTGAATCAGAATACAGTTCATTTTATCAGTGAAAATAAAGAAAAGACCATTAAAATAGAAGACTGCTAAACCACAAAAGGCAATGAAATGCATATCAATATAATGTGGGATCTTGAGTACTTCCTGTTAATGATTTTGTCAAACTAAGACCTGTACACTTCAGGTTGTTTATTAGTGTTATTTAACATCTGCCCAAGCTAAACTTGTAGCAAAAGTGAAACAGTGGGATAGTTTGTTGTGACTGGACTTGGTGGAGACAACAGGGAACCATCTGGACAGGGATATGAAATGTTGTTTAGGCAAGAGTAATTATTACACAGTAATATCCCCCAGTGCTCATGAGCTAGAAAATGAAAACAATCAGTATCTTTAAAATGGACAACTTCACTAAAAGGTAATGGAAGTGAGAGGGTATCTCTATCTCTGTTCGATCCCCCTCCCTCTCTCATTCCTGTCTTGGCATTCTCTTACCTGTGTGTTGTCAAGTCAAGAAGTGTCAAATTACTGATTTATCCCTTCTCTCTTTCTCTCC